ATTAATCGCAATTTTGACTATAATCGCCCCTAAATTGCGATATATATTTTTCTTTAGCGTATGCAACAGACATACATCAATACAATTCAAGTGGTCATTTCTTCACTTTTGGCAAATGTGCAAAGAGCGTTTCGTTCAAACTTTATTCAGTTCTTTCGAGTGAGGAATAAGACAATAACACTCAGAGAGTGTTTTCTGCCCGTGTTTAGTTTGTTTTGTTGTAGTTAATCGAACCAGCCTAAGTATTTGACTGTTGTCACTGGTAAGTACACAGCAATTTTCTAGAGCAGAAGCGAGTTGTTTTTTTGTCTCAAAGTTGAACTATTTTCTTCGTGACAGTTTTAAAATCGAAAGAGAATATTCTTCCTCAGACAACGCTTCAAACCTAAAGTCTTCTCCTATCTGTAGGTTTAACTAAGTATGTTGACTATGTAGAGATCTCAGAATGAAAATGCACATAAAGGTTGAATTATCACAAACCGTGAGTTACTTTTGTTTATTGACTACTTTCAGATATATTTTGTTTATTCAACGATGACTTACATTATGACTCCGACAGGCCACATCCCGAAGATACGACCGGTAAGATGTGATCCGTCAAGTTTGATGCTTAAGTTAATAAGGGTATACCGACATTTGGGCGCACGTCACTTGGGCGCGCGTCATTTAGGCGCTAATATTAGCTTTGCTGGATAATTGATAGTCGTGCTAATACTGTTTGCGAGGGAGGTTGGCTGTGAGTACTTACGTACCTTTCTTCTGATATACTGTATTCTCACACAGTTATTCTTCGCTTTTTATTGAGCGTCGAAATTGAGAAGAAGAATATTGAGAATGAATAGGAAAGGAAATTCCACCAAGAAAATTCTCTTCTACAATGACAAGAGTTTCTACATGGTCGATCAGATAGTGAAAGAATAGACTTGCGCTTAAATGTCGTGCGCCGAACTGTCGCGTGCCCAAATGTCTGGTAATCGTTAATAAGCAATCTGTTCCAGCTATTCAGACATCTCTCACCACATCTGCTTTTAACTTGGTCGAAAAGTCAATAATTGTACTGTTTTTCACAACATTGCGTCTTGTAAAACAGTCATGGAATTTTCTATTATGTAGGATACATTGCAGCATGACAACGCTATCGAGCTATACAGCGATGAAATTAGTAATCGTCATAGCCTTCAACAGTTTTTATCTCTCGATAGAGATTAAATCTATCGAGACGCCACGTTAGACCGCTACACGGAACTTTATCGTGACATATCGCGCGATATATGTGTTTCGCTTTCCATCCCGATAGGTTATTATCTCGATAAGATGTTTTATCGCAATAATAGAGATCTTTATTTCGATAAAAATTTCATCGTAGACAGAAACCTATAACTTCATTCCGCATGGTATATCGCGATAATTTTTTTATAACAGTTTAATGTGGCGTCTCGACAGAGTTAAGACCTATCGAGATATAAGGTATAAAATATCGCCTCTAATCGCGATATTTTATCAAAAAAAACCTCATGGGTATCGACAAATTTTAACAACTGATGATTAATCGGTTTGCATGAAAAATCGCCAGTGGTTAAAAATCACCGATATATCGCCATTCTTAAAAACATCCATAACATCCGGAAATCGCCGTCGCCGCGGATTCAGTGTTAAAGTGTTAACACTTTAACATATACGAACTCGCGGCGAGTGAGGATGAGGGTGGAGAAGTGAGAGTGAAGTGGGTGAAGCTCACCCTCATCCCCACTTCCTCACCCTCAATTATGCACGTTTATACTTTAACACTTTAACATATAAGAATCCGCGGCGATGGCGATTTCCGGATGATGCCAAAATATCGCAAATTATGATTAATTGGCGATCCTGGTGATTTTTCTTTCCTTCTAATAATGGTCAACTAATTATGGTTAATTGTTGATTTTAAGACATTAAATAGTTTTTGTTATTCACCGTTTTATTCTGTAAGTATATACGAAACATGATTTGAACGAGAAATATTCTTGTTTCCAGATTATCTTTTTAGTTTAGCTTAAAACGGAGTTGTCAAGAGTATTCGCTTTAGTTTCCTCAGAGCTGATTTTTTGTTTCGATTTGAGTCACTTTGAATCGAGGAGCCCAGTCGACTGTTAACCTAAACATTCTCCGGTTTACTGACAATTTTGACTACATTGGTATATCTCACTTTATTTGTCAAATTTTTGCTTTTTCATATAAAAAATCGTTTTAAACAAACTACAATTGACATTTATCTGCGTGATTTCATAAGTTCTACCTAATCATATCAAAACAGCCACAGAAATTTTGCTCAATATTTTTATTGCTAGCACGTCATACGACAATGGAGAAGTGATATTCAACATAAATCTCATAGATCCTTATTTAACACTAATTATTTACAATAAAAAGAAGTCATGCGTTCAACGTACCAACGTAAGTAAATTAAACTAAGAGACACTCATCCGCGATTTCTGGAGTTCGGACGGTCGACCAGATCCGGAGATCTGAACCCCCTCAATTCTTTCGCTCCCCATGTCTGAATCTTGAGGACTCGGGGATCAAATCTGATATGCGGAGTCGGTCGATCCATTAATTTGCGGTCACTGCAAATCGACAGAACCTGTGGTGCACACTTCTTTTTCGTTTTTCTTTCTTTTCTATGCATAATATATTCATCGTTTTGTTTCGCGACAGCGGTACTTTAAATACGATACTGTAGAAAATAAACACCAAGAAGATTTTCTTCTCAAATTATTAACAGTGTGAGTCATCGCCCACACTGGTCAATAGACGTGTTGTACACGCCATTGTTAGTGAACCCTTATACTCTCTCGAATACGTAGAGACAGAAGCCACTAGAAAATGAATGAAAAAGAATAGGAAATAAAAAATCTAAGGTTAGTTTTAGCCTTCAAACACCTGAAAACCGGTCACATTCTGCCAAATGTCTTGAACTCGAAGGATTCGGTCGAATCATTACCGACATGTTCCGGCGCGGAATCCGGGCGCTAGGATTCCGACATAATACGGCACGGTTCGGCAGGATTGTGCTAAATTTTGTCGGGTTCCAACGTCGGATCTTTCAGGAACTTGTCTTCGGAATCAGCAGCCTGGGACGAGATAAGGTAACATACGCTTGTGCGACATCCGGTTTCGATTTTCCAGGGAATATCAAATCAACCACCATATTGGGATTGTGCGTCCTTGGCTCTTATGAGTAGTCATTGCACAGGCAGGAACCAGTGGCAGTTGTGTTCTTGTTACGGACAAATTGTGACTGTCCTCTTTGTGCCTTGGCACTTTCATTTTCTGCTTTTGGAGGAAATCAGTGACAGCCGCAGCGAATGTTTTTGAAACCAAGGAAATTGGTACATTTCTCGGCGATAGCGTACTAAGGATCCCATCACTTTCCGTCGTCTCAACCTCTATTAATGCATAAAGTGCTTTCCTGATGTATGTCGTATTGGAAGGAAATTTTGCTCGATCACTGCCCACAGGATCTTCCATCACTTCGTAAACAATGTACGTTTTCCTCAAAGTGCGTTTTGTTCTATTTGCGAATTTTAATTCGTTAGCCATATTTTTAGTCAACAGCACGATCGTATCATGCACCAAGTTTAGATAAGCACGGTGTTACAGGCTTTCAGCCTTCACAGTTACATAAAGATATATATTTTCCTTTTGTTGTTTTATTTCTGTTTTTTTTAATAAACTTCGAATGATTCAATTTGAACCTCACACTATCCGCTAATACACGGGTACCAGTGCTTATACTGGTTGACTGGCCAGTTTTTACTGGGTACCCAGACCATTTGGGTATACGAACCGTTGGGAACCAAACGATTTGGTGATCAAGCAATATAATAAAATCCTACTTTTTCCATGAAGGAAGCATTCCTGAGGGTAGAATCTGGCACATTATAGGTAGAGAGTTTAATTCTCTCAAAAATATTTGCTAGAGCTGTGTTTCTAGAAGCGGAGCTTCCTGGTAAAAAATCGTAAATACAGTTTTTCATCTTGAAAATCAAAGCGGACCAAGCCGAATCCAGCAGATAAAAGTTGAGAAATTAAATTTGTCACGCAATGTCTTAAAACTGAATTGTAGAAAACGCTTTTTTTCATAGCACAAATTAGGAACCTGTGAAAAACAATTTCGAGACATTATGTGATAACTTTAATTTCCCAACTTTTATCTGCTAGACTTGATTTAATTTTCAGATCAACAAATCTTGTACCGTTAGGTCCACGTAAAGTTGGTTACTTAGTAGTCTCCTCAAAACAGACCACCGGTTTCATACGCCATCTATCTTATCGTTTAGAAAAAAGTATTTGATACTAGCACTCTTTTTGTTTTTTTCGGAATTTTTCTTTGCATAGCATTTCTTTCTCTTGTACATTCATATATTGCCCATGCGCTAATTGGTCAGCCTATAAACTGTTATTCCATATTCCAATTCCATGTTTTGCAGATAGACAGAACACAAAGTATGTTATAATACTCTAGACTAAAGTTAAGGTAATATGAGGTCATATTATCAAGGGATGAAGAAGAAGAGAATAAAAAAACGATATAAAATCGCCGCTGGTGGTATCTGAGAAAATAAACTAGCCTTATTAAAAACCATTTATTCATTATCTAATGAATAAAATAATAAAAATCGTATTACAAGCGATGATAATTGGACAAAAGTTAAATATTGCAACCGAGGGTAATGTTATTATTTTAACAGGCATGTTGGCCTTGAAAGCCTTACAGATACCGAAAACCGAAATGCTATCAATAAAAAAATACATGAAATACTGGTTGAACTACAAATAACTACCTGTATAATATAATTCATTTCGAAGAAAGAACGAGTAAAAAATCCGAATGATAAAAGAAAAAACAAATAGAGAAATTATAATGAGAAAAAACCCAGAAATGGACAGTGAAAATAAACGTAAAAGTCTTTACATTTGGTTGAGTTATTTATCAAACTGGTTGAAATTCATTTCAAACAATGGACGTACGTCAATCATTGTTGCTCATGACTGAAACGACCACTGTTAAATTCTTTTTTTAGGATATTTTATCTGCAGATCCTCGCGAACTATGTTTACAAGGATCAATATCTGATGATGATTATGATTCAGATGATATTAATGAAGATGATGAAGTGTACGAGAATAATGTTGATATATCAGCAGGTGATAATTATAAAGAAGAGCAGGATGAAACTTTGCGACTGGAAGATAGTATTGATGAAAGTAGAAGTAGCGAAGAAGAACTCTCAGATCCATTGATCATTAATGAGAAACTAGAAAATGTATCGATAGTGGGAAAAGAAGTGTTTGACAATTCATTTAAACAACAATCATCGAATTCAATTTTTGATAATGTTGAATTAAAAGTAAGTTAATTAGAAAGATTCAAAACACTTTTGTTTATTTGTGTCTTTTTAGCCTATTTTGCCTCGTGGTCGAGGTCTTTGTACGCAAAACTTTACCAATGAAGGACCAAAAATGCCATACACAGTAACATATAAGGATACTCCGGGTCAATATCCAGAATTTGCAAAAATACCATACCTTAAAGTAAATGTATGCTCTTCTGCTCTTGTAAAACTATATATATACTTGTTTTTCAGAAACGACGTGTATATGACTTGTCTGTTCCACAGCATGTAAGTTTTTTTGACATTATTTCTTTTTTTAAAGAATAAATTATTTTAGAAGCAACAATTGGATCCGACACTCATTGATTTCTCCGTAAAAACTGCAAAGTTTTCAATTATTATTGATAAGGATGATGCTGATGAAGCAGGTTGGTTACATGCTTGTCGTCTATTAGAAGAAAATCATATTCAATTTGATAAAACTCATATCCAACGAGATCTATGGCATTTTGGTCTTATTTCATATCCTGTTACATTGTCAATTGTTACTCAATTTGATTTAATCAAATTGGAAGCACGTGAGATTAATGAAATAAATCGACCGTATTGGATTATGTTCAAAACGCGTCCAATATTCAATGATAAATCATTAAATACAATACCGACAACTATTTCAGAGTAGATAATATTCTGAGAATAAAAAATAAAATGTTCTTCAACTTCTAATATATTTAGATCTGACATAAAACAACAAAAATCATTTATTCGTTTTATGTTTCCTGTTCAGGTGCAAATATATTATGGTGCTCTCACAGCAATGAATCGTTTTTTCTACCATGAAGATCATGTTTATCCAAAATACTCTTATCATCCATCGCTCGTATTTTATGATAATAAATTTCAAATTGAATATGTACAAATTAAACGCGAACAACATGATAAAAAGCGAATTCAAATAAAAAAATCTATAACCACTGATATTCTTGATCGTTCAGTAATCATTCAATTATTTCACAATGGTTTTGCTATTTATCTATGTATGAAAGGAAATGTACATGAAGCACAACGAAACGTTATTTCCAATGATAAGAGTACATCTACTCTAGATAATCAACAAGATAAAAAATATTTAAATTATAAACGTGTTAGTGGTGAAATGTCATTTTTTTCTACCATTCGTCTCTTATTTCGTTTAAGAAACGATGATATTATCGCTGAAAATCTAAAACGTTATCCACAAGAATCCAAAACATTTGATGAATATAAATTTGAAAATTTAGAACAAATTCGATTATGTTTTAATAAATTTTTAGATTTTTTTTATAAAAATTCTATTTATGTTTGTTTTGGTTCAATTGCATCTCGATTAGCTAATAATATTACATCTTTAACTTCACATCGATTTCAAACATTTATTCAAACTTATTCATGGCTTATATTAATTAATATTGGATTTCGTTTCGAACAACAAATTCGTTTATCAAAAATATTTATTCAAACTATGAAAAATATAGCCAATGATCAAACATTTAAATATGATTTAGATGATCGATTTTATCGTATATGTCTTTATCTTTGGCGACGATCATCTGAATATTTTTTCTTAGATATTGATCGAGAATTAGAAATTGGTCTATCAGAATATAAATTAAAACGAGAACAACAAAATTATGTTAATAATTTAATAGATCCACCTAAAAAAGGTTATGCTTATATTCCATCAGTAATAATTACACCTACCACTATTCGTATTACTCCATTAAAATTATGTAAATTAAATCGTATTATTCGTGAAAAAATGTTTGGTGGAGAAATGAATTTTGTATTAGTTGAAATACGTGATGAAGCATCAAAAATACTCTATTCAAATGAATATCGTGATTTACGTCAACAATTTGAATATTATTTGAATGATGGTTTTCAAATGACTGATGAAAGAAGATACAAATATTTACATCATTCACAAAGTCAATTGAAACAAAAACAATATTGGTTTTATTATCATGATAAATCAAAGGGTTATTTATCAATAGAAGATGCCTATGTATGGATGGGAGATTTTGATAAAGAACGAGTAGTGGCTAAACATGCAGCAAGAATTGCACAATGTTTTACCAGTACTGAGTCAACAATATCGGTAAATAAGTATAGAATATTTTTTTTTATCTTGTCTCGCAGCTATAACTCACGTCCACGTCAAGCTTACTTTAGTATATTTGATCTTTTAAAAATGAGCCAAGAATAAACTTTGTCACGCACATTTTTCTATCAATGGTTCAATCGATCAATGTGGTTCCTTCACACTTTATGTTCAATATAGGGTGAATCCATGGGTATCCAACCACTTTTTTAGAAAAAGCTTTTTTATCGACTTTTTTCGTTCTAGTTAGCTGGGACGTGGTGAGAAAACAGCTTTGGTCGAAAAAAATTGCTGACTTTCACCTTAAATGAGGGAGATCTGGAGCTGTTTCTAGAAACATCTAATGAGGGTCATCCAAGTTATTTCAAGATTTTGGGCTCATATTTTGCCCATTGGTAGAGGGCCACTAGACTAACATAACCTCCAAAGGATTCTTCTTTTGATTGAGATTTGACCGAGATATGAATGTTTCAAAACAAAGTATTTTTAGAAAAATTATAAAAGAATGAAAAATCTATGTTTTGAAACATTCATATCTCGGTCAAATCTCAATCAAAAGAAGAATCCTTTGGAGGTTATGTTAGTCTAGTGGCCCCCTCTACCAATGGGCAAAATATGAGCCCAAAATCTTGAAATAACTTGGATGACCCTCATTAGATGTTTCTAGAAACAACTCCAGATCTCCCTCATTTAAGGTGAAAGTCAGCAATTTTTTTCGGCCAAAGCTGTTTTCTGACCACGTCCCAGCTAACTAGAACGAAAAAAATCGATAAAAAAACTTTTTCCAAAAATGTGGTTGGATACCCATGGATTCACCCTATATTGTGTAGATGTGCCCTTTCAGTAGACACAAATTTAACTGATCTGTAGTTGTTGACAAGTTCAATACAAGTTTTGGGAGTGGGTGAAAAGTCCGCTGAGTAACTTAAAATTTGTTTGAATAATTTTTTTTTGAGTAACTATATGTTTTAAACTAGTTGAAGACTGAAAGGTTTCCCGTTTTATCATTTCCGTCACCTAATGCATTATTTGCTTTAAAGTTTACTTGTTAAATTTAAATATTTCTCTAAAATACTATACTTTGATCGAATCCTGCTCAGTACGATTCGATCAGTCACTCTTAAACTAAAGTACTACTTGAAGTCGCGAGACAGGGGCCGATTTATTAAGATCTGTTGTTCTTTTTATAATAAAATTAGTTTTATTTTGAGTTTAGATCAGTGCTGATTTAGTTAATTATATTCGAGATATTGAAAGTGAAGATAAAAAGTATACTTTTACGGATGGTGTTGGAACAATATCAACAAAATTGAGAAATGAAGTATGTTTGTCAGACAATTGTAATCTCTTTTTTAGCATATTTCTGTATAGATTCAAGAATATATGGGTAAAAATTATCCATCCAGTGTATTACAAATTCGTTATGGTGGATGCAAGGTAAAAATTGAAAAATATCTGAATTACGAATGATATATAATTTATTGTATACTTTTAGGGAACATTATCAGTTGATCCAAGACTTGATAATCAACAACATCAACTAGTCATACGTGATAGTATGAATAAATTTATAACTGATCACGACATATTAGAAGTATGCAAATTATCATCACCACGTAAGACTGTTGTTTTAAGCTATTTTTTATTCAGAAATGAATATACCTAACAACTCTTCTCCTAATGTGTCGAAGCATTACATAGTTGAAGTTTAACATGTTGTTTCCCTGACCGTACATTAAATACATTACAAGAAGAAAAAAAAACGAAAATAATAATTAAGAAAATAAAAGAACGATTGACAGGTGCTTGGGCGCATGTACGACACAAGCATTCAATAAGAGTATATTTGTTAGAATATGATGCATAACAGTAAAATTTTCTTTAAACAAATTTGGTATGGTGTGAGAGCTTGCTCTATATTACTCATATTCAACTGTAATTACTGTTTGTTTAATCTTCATCGATATCTATCCGCACCAGCATCGGTGCCTTTAAACCTCGACTGTCGTTGTGTCCAAATGTTGTTGCACCCCCCCCCCTCAGGAGTCGGGTTCATCAGAAAAAACTGAAAAAGAAGCAAGATTGGTGGAATGTTACAGTTAGAATCTGGCTGTCTCAATTACATATTGTATTATAAACTTATAAAGATCTTTATACAAGACGAAACCTAGATACTTTCGTAGTAGTAGTAGATTTAGGTCAATGTCACAGTTCAGATCACGTAGTTTTATTTGTTTAAATAGACTTGCTCTCGCCAAACGATAGCTAAGACAAGAAAGGAAATAGTGTTTTACTGCCTCGAATTCGCCACACTCGTAAAACTCTTCTCATTAGAAACCAAATGTTGTTTAAGCAGATCATTATTCAAAACCGAAAAGTCTACTCTCATCTGATTAAGAGCTATATTTGCCCTTCTATCTACAGGCAACGCCCTCCTCCCTTTACAGGCGTTATGGTTTGAACAAGTTTAAAATGTTGTAACAAATCTTTTGCAAATACTTTACATGTAATAACTTTCATCAGCTGCAAAAAGGGGGACTGTTCCATATCCTGACTGTCTATGGAAAAAAGGAAGACAAAAATGTTACAGTTTTTCCATAGATCAGTTGAATCAGATCTAACTCGTTTGATCTCATACTATAAGAACAATTTACTATGAATTTATATGTTTATATAAAAAGTACGAGACTCTCTCTCTTCTTATCTAAAATATTTTTATGTATTATATAAATGTTTTTATTTTATTTTTTTAGGAGCATTGTATCTTAATCGACAAGATATTGTTTTATTATCAAGTCGTCAAATATCAGATGCTAATTTTTTAATATTACAAAATGAAAATCATTTATGGCTTATACAAGCTTTATTAACATCAGCAGCAGCATATGAACTTTTAAATGAAAAAATTTTACGTGTTTTCTCATTAAAATCGTTAGCATGGAACATGAATTTAGTTGAAGAACAATTTTTTCTTAAATTAATTATAAGAACATCGTATAATTGTATTCAAGAATTGTTAAAACGTACACGAATTCGAATAGCGAAAGAAAAGGCACGAAATATGTTTGGTATTGTTGATGAATATGCTGTCTTAAAATATGGTCAAGTATTCATTCAATATACACATATGAGAACAGATAAATTGGATGAACAACAAAATAAGAATAATAACAATGGTACAGAAGTATTAACGGGAAAAGTAGTTATTACAAAGAATCCATGTCATCATCCAGGTGATTTACGAACGTTTGAAGCTATCGATTGTCCACAGTTAAAACATCTCAAAGATGTTGTTGTATTCCCACAAACAGGTAAGAAATAAAATAAAATTTATACTAAATAAATTAGATTTTATTGTATGCTAGGTCCACGACCACATTCAAATGAAATATCCGGTTCCGATTTAGACGGTGATGAGTATGTGATAATATGGCATGAAGATTTATTACCAAATACAGAAAATGATGACGCATACGATTATGATTCACAAGAAAAACCGATAAAATTAGATCATCCTGTAACGCGTAGTGATATCAATGAAGTAGTACTGAATGTTAGTGAACAGGATTGTATGGGAACGTTGTCCAATATTCATTTAGCATATGTTGATAAACTCGGTGTCAAAGATCCTTTATGTATGAAATTAGCTGGTTACATTTCTCAAGAAGTTGATGCAAGTAAAACGGGTAAACATCCGCTTACAGAAGATGAAATACGAGATTATCGACTTGGTTTAAACAATAAATTACCTGATTTTATGTTTAAAAAACGTGGTGAACAATATGAATCACCTAATGTATTAGGAAAACTCTTTCGTTCTGTTCGTCGTGCTCAACCCGGTTGGATACGTGCAATTCAAAATTCTGGAAATTTTCATCAGAATAATGACGATATTGTTACAGATAATCAATCACAGTCTTCTTCAACAATGATACTCGATAAAATATTTTACTACGATAAATATAAACAATATCGTTCACAAGCTGAAAAATTGTATCATTCATATAAACAGGATCTATTAGAAATTATAAGTGTCTACCATTTGCAAGATGAAACAGATTTGTTTTGTCGTTGTGAATCGATGGGAAATGGACGACGTTCAGGCGGTATTGAAGATTCAGCATCAATTGAACTTTTACAATTAATTGACCGTATTAAACAAGAATTTAATCAAGAATTTGATCATCGTTCATGTTGTAAACGATATCAAAAAATAAAACGAAATTGTAATGCCTGTTATGAGGAAAAATTATCAAAATCATCAGCATGTTATGTGGCCTGTTATAAACAAGCTAACGGTTTACCAGCCAAATCAAAATATCGAATTTTAAGTTTTCCATGGTTATTTGCCGATTTATTAATGGATATTCGACGAATAAATCGAAAAAATCAAAATTTACCTGTTGAACATAAATTTATTGTTATTGGACGAGCAATGTTCAATGCATTAATGGTGATCTTAGAAAATAAACAATTAAAATTGAAGATTTATATACCGATGAACAAAGAAAATGATCTTACTCTTTATCTTACAGGTAACCATCATCATTCTACTATTTAAAGTTGCTTACGAGGAAATCTATCCAAGTGATACCTTCCGATTTTGTTTGTGTATACGTCGATCGATAGAGGGTATTGAGCTAGTAAAAATTCTAAAAGGATTTTTCTCCATGACTCTTGAAGACTCGGTTTTCTGGAAAATCAGTTTTTCAGAAACTCTAAAAAATAACCAAAACCTTTCTTAATGAGGCATAATTGTAGACTTACGAGAAAACCACTCTAACTGTCCGATGGCTTTTTTCACGAAACCTAGTGAATAATAGGTAATCGAGTATGCTGAATCCGAATATCAAGTGGTTTGGGTATCTAGGCCTCCAGAGACCGGTTTTCTGGAAAGTCAGTTTTTCAGAAACCAAAACCTTTCTTAATGAGACATAATTGTAGACTGCAAATTTCTGATTAAAATGAGATATCTTCCAGCTCTACACGACCTTTCTTTGCAAAGTTATAGAATTTACAAGAAAAGCCCTAAATGTTCATTGTCAGGTCAAAGCTACAGAAATAAGAAGAAATAAATTTAGGGCTTTTCTTGTAAATTCTATAACTTTGCAAAGAAAGGTCGTGTAGAACTGGGCGATGTCTCATTTTAATCAGAAATGTGCGGGCTACAATTATGCCTCATTAAGAAAGGTTTTGGTTATGTTTTAGAGTTTCTGAAAAACTGATTTTCCAGAAAACCGGGTCTTCATGACTCATGGCGAAAAATCCTTTTAGAGTTTTTACTAGCTCGATACCCTCTATCGATCAATGCATGAATGAACGAAATCGGAAGGTATGACTTGGATAGGTTTCCTCATTAGTATGTTTTCTAAATAAAATTTGTTTTACAACCACTTTTTTGTTACGGAAAAGTTCAAGTTCTAGAAACTTGAATTGATCCTTCGTATGCGTCCAATCCTCGAGATTGCTTTTCTTTCAATACAGTCGAGAATATATACGTCATATGTCAACAAAATAATTCGATGATTCGATCTTCAGTGGTGGTCTCCATCTACTTACTAATCATCGTCCTGATGCTTAAATAGAGAAGAGACATCATTGTCAAAATTTCTCTATGAGTCACACGAATTTACTGCGGTTGAAAATGTGACAATGAATTTGTCTTTTCTCTGTTTAGCGCTAGAATGACGATTAGTAAGTGGACGGATGACCGTCACTGAAGTTCGAATCATCGGATTATTTCGCTAACATCTGACGTATATATTCGTGATGAGAGAAAAATTACAGAAAGGTAGTCTCGAGGACTACGCGTGTAATAAAGACCAGTTCAAGTTTTCAAGATTTGAGTGGTTGTAAAACAAAAAATTTATTTAGTTCAGAAAAGTCAAATTTAAAATATTAAAATTATTATTATTTGTTATTTATTTATAGAGACAAATTCAGTTCCAATATCTCAAATGTTTAATAATAATAAAAAGAAATGCATAGAATTAAATGATATTGATATTCTAAAAGTATGTTTTGTAGAAATATTACACGATTGGTTAGTTAAACAAAATTTATTTGGTAATGTATCATTGAACACAGATAAAAAACCATTAATACCGGAACAATTATGGCATGAATTATTAATACGTTTTCTAGTTCAAGATAATAATCAATATTATGGACAAAATTATCAAATTATTTTCTCATCAAATGAATTAATGTCAAAACGTTATTATACTTTAGTCGAAAATATATGTCATAAAGAATGGACTGATAACGAATATAATAAAATGGATAAAATGTTCAATAAACTTCTTCACATAGCATTTAAATATTCAAAACAATATAAATCAGATAATATGGCATTTTTAAGTGAATATTTAATATTAGCATTACAATCAATTGGTATTGAAAAAAATTTAACAAATATTTTTTCGAAATAAATTTTTAATCTTATATTTATAATTGTAATAATAATGTTGATAAAAATGTTTATATAGAAATTTGTTCAATAATCACAGTGTTAGTAATTAGTTCTGTATGAGAATATTTCCATCAGAAATGGACAATTCTAATTTTGGAGTTGAACTACTTTTTTTAGTGGAGTGTTGAAGTTGTATTATTATTAGATTAAAGTTAAGTTGAGTTCAGATTTTTTCAATTTTTAACTTCATAACTTCAATTAAAAATTTTTACAAATCTGACAATTTTTTTCCGTTTTTTGTTCAGTTGTTAAAATGTACTGTTTTTTTGTGTATATTCTCGTAAACAAATACGAAATAAACAACTGCTAATAAAATAAAGCAGTAAATGAATCAAGACAAAATAAGTTCCTATAGGAGTTGAAGCGGAGTTGGGATTGAACTTAGCCAGAGTTGCCCATCTCTGCTTTTCATAATAATGTTCTCAAACGAATTTAGGAAATGTTTTTTTTGAAGATTCTCAAGAGAATTTTGACACATCCGTAATTTACTATAAACTAATGTAATGCAACGATATGATAAATTCATATCAGGTCAAATATGCAAACTCTACGAATTCAGTTTTCTAAAAAGGAGAATCGACATTCGCAGTATACCGTAACGGAACGTTGCTTTTGTAGAAAATGTTTCGTGTACGTGATTGGAAGGGTATGTCAGGTCGGTGTACGACTTCCCATAAATCTCTTTATTCATATATAATTGGTGCGGCATAAAGAACGGACCATTTAGTTACTATTTTCTATTTTTCTCATGTTCTTTTAGAACCTTAAGATTAATGTTTTTTTCAAAGGGTGCGCTGCGAAATATTCTACAAAACGAGACGTAAATCTTAATTCCAGAACTTTAGTCAAGAAAACGATTCCAATTATACGAAAGGCGAAAAAAATGAAGACTTACGAGAAAACCACTCTAACTGTCCGATGGCTTTTTTCACGAAACCTAGTGAATAATAGGTAATCGAGTATGCTGAATCCGAATATCAAGTGGTTTGGGTATCTAGGCCTCCACAGACCGTTTTTCTGGAAAATCAGTTTTTCAGAAACCAAAACCTTTCTTAATGAGGCATAATCGTAGACTGCAAATTTCTGATTAAAACGAGATCCATCTTCCAGCTCTACACGACCTTTCTTTGCAAAGTTATAGAATTTACAAGAAAAGCCCTAAAAGTTCATTGTCTGGTCAAAGCTACAGAAATAAGAAATTAATTTAAGGCTTTTCTTGTAAATTCTATAACTTTTCTAAGAAAGGTCGTGTCTCACTGGGCGATGTCTCATTTTAATCAGAAATTTGCAGTCTACAATTATGCCTCATTAAACTGATTTCCCAGAAAACCGGTCTCTGGAGGCCTAGATACCCAAACCACTTGATATTCGGATTCAGCATACTCGATTACCTATTGTCCACTAGGTTTGGTGAAAAAAGCGATCGGACAGTTGGAGTGGTTTCTTCGTTAATAAGTTTAGTATGTTTTTTGATTTGAACTTTTTTCTTCTGCTATTATTTGTAAAAGAGTGTAGCAAAAGTGAAAACTCAGTACTTTTAAATGTGCTCTTTCTCGTGGTCTGTAAAAAAGGTTTTTTAGAGCAGCTGGTGTGCTGGTGCAACTAGATTTTCTTTTTGATAACGAACACCAGATTTCTCCTCGTGTTTCAGCATGGATCAGGTGTTCAAAATTAACATAGTCTAAAATTTTTGTGTTGATTAGACTTATACTAAGTGAGATAAGAGTGAGCTTGTTTATAGTAAGTTAGAACGAGGATACGATAGTTCTACTTGTAAATTATATGATATCTATTTTTCTAAAACCAAACATTTTCAAAACGTTTCTCTCCGGACAACATTGCTTCGGTGAAAAAAAGGAAAACTAACAATAGTTATGTGCTTAACTTTTCGAAAAACATTTTTGTACAAAACAATTAAAAAGTCACATGTTTTAATCACTTGCATGAAATCGGCTTTTATGTTTAACACAAAAACTATTCAACGAGTGATCAGGGCTCCATCATCGTCGCTCTAAAAAACGAAAAGAAGTTCAAAGTACTTCGAAAAGTGTCATTTTGATGAGCATGTATGATATAATCAATAAACTAGCGTTAAAGAATAAAGAAGAGATCTTCCGAGTAGATGAGACAGACGTGTACACGTTAATACAGTACTGGTCCTGTAACTCAAGAAACATGATAGCTAGAGATCTCTAATTTTGTGTTCATAGCTCTTGCCAAATGCTGAGCAACTATCAAGTTTGGACCTCTTTTACTAGATGGTTCGTGAGATATCAGCGATTTATGTCTTTTCCGTAAAATATCAATAGCCGCTGACCTAAGAGAGATGAAAATGTTTTCTTTTTACTAAAATATAGCCACGACTCTACTCTATCTACAATATAATATTTTGTGAGTTGGCTACTAGTAGTCAGTCAAATACAGCTATTTTACGGATGAGGTCCCTGAAAATGAGGTTCTGAAATATGAGATCCTTTTCGAAGAAAAATTCATAACTCATTCTAGGAACATCAGTTCGACTTCAAATTCACAGCAAATACTGTTCAACGACTGTAGACTATCCAGTCAAAGTATAAAGGTTAACTATTGTATGGTTCTGGAAATTCATTGAGCCCGAGCACTCACAATTGAAACAGTTCTCCTTACCGGGATCATATAGACATATAAATCTTTGCAAGTGGGTGACAGGGGCGCTTTTGTTTGTTCTTCAGCATCATTAGTATCAACCAACCGATAGTGTAATTCCATCGTTCCGTCCTAAAAGTAGAAGAGAATGTAAATTTTTTTTTAGATGAAAATAAACTCATACCGTGGGAAGTGTGTTGATTATCGCTAGACTGGCATCACACTGCATTGGTAAACTACGCATAGGTACTTTCCAACGTCCATTAAGTAAACGATTATTACGATCAAATAGAGGAATTTTTGCCCATGACGTTGTTTGCAGCTGAGTATAATAGGATGGATAATTAGCTGTTTGGACCTCGATTACGATTGTCAAAGCTTGTTCAGGTGAACAACTATAAAGAAAAGTGTAGATGAGAATGTTCTTGTAAAGAAGTATACCTACCGTGGAACCGGTTGTTTGGTGGCGATTAATGCTACGTTCGTCTTTTGTCCGTTTTGATCAACAAATGAATTACATCTGAATGATTGTAACTGTGATGGCTCGCCTAGCCCCGATTTTGGATGATGTAGACAAATAACAAGTTTACATAATTCAGTTGACGGTTTCATATCATAAATAAAATCAAAAAATATTACAAAACCTCCGACTAGCTTGAAAGGTAGACGTTCTGCTAGTTCACTGATATCTGATGACAACAAACTCATCGTCGGACTAACGGAAGTTGTTGTTTGAGTTGTGATCTGTGATTCTTGTTTCACACTTGAAACTTGATCTGCCGGTATATCTGATGTATGATGATCATGGTTCTTCACGCGTGAACGAGGTGATACTCGTGAGAGCGAAATAGTACCTCTTCTAAATAATAGCAAAACACTACAGTGAGTAAAAATAGAAATAATAAAATAATTGTCGAATCTTGCCTTGAATGAATCTGTTGTTGATTATTCGACCTATATGTCATTACAGAGTCAACAATTGGGTGAGGAGGATGATAGTGATCATTTGAAGGATTGTGTGTAGCTGCAACATTAAAGAGTCAGTGAGAACGACAAGTAAATAATCTTGCACTCACTTGTATTTAAGCTTTTAAATTTCTTTTGTAATACAAAGATATCTCTTTCTAATTGTTTATTTTCTCTGCGGATATGTCTCAATTTGTTATCTATCTGGTCTGTATAACGGTCTAGGAAAAAAATAAATCAGATGAATACGTCAGTAATGAGTGTAGAATCAACTTCTCGCCATTATGTTTTCTTATCTAGTTTGAAAAACCCCATGTAGTCAAAATCGGCAATAAATCGATGATTTTTTAGCGATTAATAGCCATTAATCGGAGAATTTTTAGTTTAACAGTCAACTGGGCTCCTCGATTCAAAGCTGACTCAAATCGAAACAAAAAGTCAGCTCTGAGGAAACTAAAGAGAATACTCTTGACAACTCGTTTTAAGCTAAACTAAAAAGATAATCTGAAAAGAAGAATATTTCTCGTTCAAATCATGTTTCTTATATACTTACTCTACTACAGAATAAAACGGTGAATAACAAAAACCATTTAATGACTTAAAATCAACAATTAATCATACTTACGAGGAAAGGACACCAAGTGATAAATCGCTTCTAGCTTAAAACTTAGTGAACAATAGGTAATCGAATGTGCTGATTCCGGATACTAACATGAGACGGGCCGCTAGGCCTCCAAAGACTGGA